TTTAATGTTTGTTACTGATGGTCTTTTATTATCTTAGGAACTTGTGGATGTTTTCTAATCTTACTGACAAGTACTGTGGATGAAGCTGTTGCCCTGTAGATTTTGCACCTCCATAAGTAAAATTAAAAATATGTTCAATCCAATTTAACTGTATTTGTTAAGCACTTACAAAGCAAACAAAGCTGACCAAAGTCCTGTACAAAGTTTACTATAGTACAGTCCTATCTGCTGACAAAGATTTTCATTTTCATTTACATTTTCTTTATGTGCAAAGCTGGTTCAGGTTTGATTAATCAGAATCATCATTCCCATTTAGGAATATTTTTCAATTTAAAATGTCAGAAATAGTGTTGAGTTCGAGGCTTCATAGAGTGGACCAAAAACAAAGCCTTGTTTTGGCTTAGAAAAAGCAAATTGAACTGCTATTTCTGACATTTTAAATTGAGAAAGTGTTAAGAAACAGGGATCAGCTGATATGCCTTCTATTTGTCATTAAAAGTTACTTTTTATAATAACAACCTTTAAGTAGAAATTTTGCATTATTGTTTATGAAACTCTAATTGCTGTGTAAAATAACGGTTTAGTCCTGATATATTTTAAATTTGTATTTTTTTCATCAGCAGTATTAAAAAAATTGTCACGATCAACAGAAATAAAACCTTGAAAACATTAGTGCGTGTTTTATGTGTTTCGCTTAGCTGAGTAACTGTTTCTTTTTTTAGTCATAGTCTAATTTATATCACCCAAAAGACTTGCAGCTGTAACTTCAACAGAAGGTGCTTTTAAACAGCATTGACTCACTTATGGAGAATAATATAGGCTTACAATAAACCAGTGTAAAAGAAAATGAAAATAATGTTTGCCTCCTGCAAACGACTGACTGCTGTCTCAGTAAGGTTATTATTTCCATAAAATACACAGGATACCTGATAATAAAAGTGACTTTTACTAACCACTTTAGTGTTTTCATTTATCAGCATGCTTTATTATTATGAATTCATTATTTAACAGATGAGTAAGTAATTATTTTCTTTACAATTCTTATTTAGCTGTTTTAGCAGCTTTACTAACTGATCAATATCAAACTGTTTTATAGAATATAAGAAGAAAAACTAATATAGTAATATGTCTTTTTATTACTTGAGTAACAGGTCATTGTTGCTGTGAGTGACACACATCATTTTGGCTGAAAAGATTCTGAAAATATGAAAATAGAAGGGAGGACCTCACTTTAAGCTGCACATGACAACATCATTTCTTTGAATCATGTGTCTGACTTTTTTTCCTTTTCCTCCAGATGGCTTGAAGGTTTTAGTAACAGGTGTTTGTGTGGTGAGGGAAACAGTTTTAGAGCAATTTTTAGAGCTGTTTGATATTTTAAATAAAATGTTGGAATTTTTTTTTACTGCTGTCACAGTTATATTGCATGTTATCACAACTATATTTGAATAACGGGTCTTTCTGTATTTTTAACAAGGTAGGGACCTGAAATATCCTCCAATTCTAGAATTAAACTTTTGCCTTTTTTACATGGGGGTTTTCAATGTGGATTTTTGATTACAAATTACTTACATGCGCTCCCATAAATGGACCATACAAAATAAAGTACAAAATTGTAGGAAGCTTAGTGACACATGACATAAAAGCAGCTTAAATTGTTTGTGCCATTGTTTAATATTTTAAGTGAGTGGTTTCTATTATATGTTGTTGACATTCAGGACATATATTTTAAATAGGAGGAAACGTGGGAAAACTTAGCTAAACGGTCATAACGTCAACTTAATTTGCGGAAACACAACTCCATTACATAAGGCTTCTGTTATGTATTATGTACTCTGCAAAAATAATCAACTTTTAAAACTAAAATCTAAATAAGCACATAATCAAACCTCGAATCAAATGTATTTCTCGTTTTGAAAGATTAGCAGTAAAGCCACCTAAAATAAAACTGTCATAATTTTCATGCTTTTTGCAGCCTATTGAACAAAAATGCTTCCTTCATTGTTGTCCGTGCTAAATTCGAGATTATCTGTTAATATTGTTCATGAACGATAGGGTCTCAGTTATGTTGTGAGAGACACCTCATGACCATGAGTCTATTAGTCCTCTACTCTGAGAACGGTGAGTATAAATCAATTCCAAGGATTTCTGACTGATCACCTTTATTCTGTCATGATATTCTTCCCTGATGGGACTAAACTCTTAAGAGATGAGGTTAGAGGAGATGGAGAAAATGAAACAACCAGAGCAAAAAACAGTCACATCAGTAAACCTAGGCTTATATGTCTTATTTTCTTAATCCAGACAGTACATGTGGCAGAGTATTAAATCTTAATCCTACTGCAATCTAAACATATCAGGGAGCAGATCCAACAGGTTCCTTATATGATAATAATTAGAAATGTAGACATGTATGAAAAGTATGATTAATATGTGTTTAAAGTTTGTTATTTTCCAAATTTAATTTGACAAACCAGACTGTTTGGAATGCAATCTCTAATAGAAGAACTTGTTTTCAGACGATGATTTCTGTTTTAGAAGTTTCATTTAATGCCACCGCACTGCTTCCGGATTGATTCAAAGACCAGACTTTTTGGATATTCATTTTTTCTTCTAATCATTGGTATGTTAAAGGTTTTCTTGCTCTTAGAATGAGAAGTCTTTGGTATCCTTTGGTGTGTGATCTGAACTTGGAAAGAAAGGGACAATCTCCATTTCGAACCTGCACAGCAAACCTTTTCATTCTTGAAGAGGCTAGGCTACCCTCTTAAGGGCTTCTCTATATGTATTGTGTCTAACTTATTATTCTACGGAGTTATCAGCAAACCTTCTGCTTTTAATCGGTTCAAAACCTTAGTAAAACTTAAAAGGAGATCAAGTATGGCTCCAAAACTTTGGAATATATCACCTTTAAAAAAATTAAAGAGAGGTTTAAGTCTCTAGCAAAATGTAACCTTTTGTTTTTGCAGTTTAAGTTGGATAACTAAATAAATGTGTTATAAAACATTTTGCTACATGTTTAATATTGTCGTTTTATGTCTTATTTTATGCACTTTGTAGTATTTTAAATGTTTTCAAACAATACATTTTAGTTGGACTTTGCTTTTTAATTTTCTTTCTGCTACCTGTACTTTGTCTGTCTTAAAAGTTAGATCTGAGATTATTAACAGGAAAAACCATGAACAGATGCGCTCTATACATTTTTGAAATACCCTATTACTGTGAATGTTAAAAAAAAGATTTCTTTTTTACTCTTATATTTTTTTTATAATGTTATTGTCAAGCATATTGTATCATACATAAAAAATGTACGTTTAACATTGCAGCACACATGTTACAGGGAAAGTTTGCGAGGTGCTTTAATCAACACAACAGAAAACAGACCTGATATTGAATGTTTGCTGATGTCAACAATGGGTTTTAGCTTCAAATGTAATAAGACAGCTCAGATAAAAGGGGGAGAGTAATTGTATAGAGTTGTTATTAAATCAGTCAAATGGTTGGAGATAAATAACATGAAGGAGGCCATATTTGTATCCAAATATACAAGTGAAGGGTCTCAGTCACTTTTAATAAATAAGATAAAAACAGAGCAGATCAGCCTGTGGAAGCCCAGGTTACTTTAATAGCACCTTCAGTTCATCAGCAGTGTAGGTCTAGTCTCCCTCATCTTCCTCTTTACATCACCTCACAGCATCCTTATAGACATTTGTTGATACCAGGATCATGTGTTGTGAGATACAGAAAAATGAAATCCTCATCACAGCTAATCAGCCAAAGGGAGCAGAAGGTGTGACTGCACTGAGTAACTTAATAACACACTGTGGACCAACACCAGGGGATGATATGGCTCTCTAGATCATCAGTGACTCTGCACTCTTTTTATTTAGAAATGAAATGTTATATTTATTTTCCCATTAAAAGACAATGTGGACCCCACATAGCGCATATGTAGATTATACAAAACCAAGATAGTAGGTTAATTTCTTTCTTAATTTGTAATTACTGCTCTTTGGCACAGTAATCATACTAAAATTGTAAATATATATATATACCGTATATATATATATATTAAGAAAGATATTAACCTACTATCTTGGTTTTGTATAATCTACATATGCGCTATGCTATCCTGAGCATAAATAGGGCTTCTGATGTCTCTGTATCAGTAGAGTGTTGACCACAGGATCATAAAAGTTCTGGTTTAAAGCAATTTTTTCAGCTGAAGTCCTTTAACTATTTTATTCACTCTCTATTCACAGTTATCTAAAGTCTGATCTTTACAAATTTTAAAGCACAATTTTCCTTCCACCCAATTTTCCACTGGACTTTTTTCATTTTGTGTAGTTTTGTATACAGACTTTTGTGGCTTAAACTGTATAAGTTTGCAGTGTTTCCCGTGTTTTTATAGGTTAAGATAAGGCAAGAGTATAATGTTTGTTTAAAAAAACTATAATTATTGGTGTATTGCAATATTATTGTAATATTAATATTATTAGTCTTAGCAGTATCCCTTAAATCTGATTTAAACGCTTACAATGCACCACTATAGTGTAATGAATGTGTATCACGGGTAAAATTAATTACTGAAACAAACCTTTCCAATTATATTTCGATTTGTAGAGATGTACCTCTGGCAATGGGTAAGTATAAGACACATTTGTGTTTTCTCATTTTAACAGATGTAAGTTTTATTTGTGGAATTTAATGGAATTGGCTCCTTTAGTCACTTGGATATTTTCCGGGAGCCAGATTAGCCTCGTCCTCGCTGTTTTGACAGGTCTGAATTAGAGGACTGCGCCAGGTAATTAGCGATTGATCCAGAAAAGTGAAAAAAAAAGAGAAAAACTCTCATTTTCTCCCTCTCTCTCTCTTCCTCTCCGTGGCTTTCTTTTTGTTACTCCATTAAGCGCGTCTCTGACGTCACGGGGCGATTAAGGCTTCTTATTGGTCCCGGGAGCAGATGGAGGAGTCCTAATGAGCTGGCTCTCACACAGTGAGCGCAGGGTTACCGTCTGGGCTGGACCGTAAGAGAAGCAGTGATACAGCCTCACTCTGGCTCCGCTTCCTCACCTCCTTCCTCTGCCTTCTGACTGTTTTTTCTTTTCTTATCATTTATTCTGACTGCATGTTCAGCCACACCGCCTCCCTCGGCATCTTCACTTCGGCCCCGCCGCAGCTCCGCCGAGCATGGACAGCCGGGTTCTCGAGCATCCTCACGCCCAGTTCGGCGGCTCCCTGGGCGGGCTGCTGGGCTTCCCCTACCCGCTCGGTACCCACCATCATAGCCACCACCATCACCAGCATGTCTATGAGCTGGCGAGCGGACACCAGCTGCAGTCCGCGGCCGCCGTACCTTTCTCTATAGACGGATTATTAAACGGCTCGTGCTCGGCCTCTGTGGTCACCTCCAGCCCTTTACTGTCATCCGACAGCCAGCAGTTCAAACTATCAGGTGGGTCTGCTTTTTATTTGATTGTCTTTAGGGTTTAAACTGTAAACTTTGTGAAATTAAAGTTATTGCAAACTAGAACAGCACATGTTCTAAAAAAAATAAAATAAAAAGCTTTAGTTCAAAAAACAAATAGATTAAAAGTTATTTTACCCCTTTTGGGTTTTATAGAGAATTTAATGAAAACGTTTTTTTTTTTCGGTTTTAATGAGTTTGCTTAATGTTTCCAGCTTTTAAAATGAAAAAGAAAGTATTGACTTTCCCCCTAAAGGTCCCATTAATTGTAAGCCCTTTGGCCACAAATACTCATATATGCTCGTATATATAGGCCTATGCCTTCTCAGTAATGTTGCTTTATTTTTTTTTAGCATTTTATTCCATATTTAACTAAATTTATTTTGTTTTATTTTTTTTCTTTTAACCCTGTATTATAATGATAATCTGCAGCTGAAAATAAATGATCATATATTGCATATTTCTCTTTAAAAATCATTAACACAAAAATATATATATATTTAAAAAAGCTGACATTTTTACACAAAAATACTTAGACTTTTGTAGCATCAGCATCTCTCAATCTCTCTCTCTTTCTTTTTATGCTTGTGTTTATCTGTCTGTCTTACTTGTACACAAACGCGCGTGCTTTCTCGTGCACACACGCGCACGTGTGCAGATTCTGGAGACCCGGATAAGGACAGTCCCGGCTGCAAACGGAGGAGAACCAGGACGAATTTCACCGGCTGGCAGCTGGAGGAGCTGGAGAAGGCTTTCAACGAGAGTCACTATCCGGATGTGTTCATGCGGGAGGCGCTGGCGCTCAGGCTTGACCTGGTCGAGTCCAGGGTTCAGGTGAGCCAGAGAAAATCAAATATTTTCTCTTTTTCTTTTTTTTTTTAGGAAACATGTTTTCTCCCATAATTTGGAGCCATTTTATAAGCCACCCTTTAAGATTATTCAAGGTACCGAATTTAAGAAAATAAATAAATAAAAGGACAACCACCCAAAACGAACACATCTGGAGATAATTGCTGTGTGATGGCCCATAAAGCCTGTCCCATCCTGATGAAGCTGCTTGTCAATAATGAAAGCAGCAGGAAAAAAAAGTCTCATTTGAATTTTGCATGTGGGCAACCTATTGATTTATAGGCTAATTAAAACAAGGCTATTTGCAAAAGCAAATCAATAGGTGAGAAAGAGTATGGTGCACTTATTTGTTTCGTTTTTTTTTTTTACTTTATTCATAATTCCATATGTTTCAGCTCTCATGTTTTCAATGGAATTAAGTAGCATGTACACATTTAGAACTAAAATAAATATTTTTCTTACTATACTGTTTTTGTACCAGTTTTAATTTGATAGTTTTAGGAAGCTTTGTGTATTTTTTAATTAATACTTTAAAAAAACAAACAGAATATCATAAAGAGTACTTCAGAGATTTAAAAAAAATCAACACAGTACAGTAAATTAGAAATATAGTTGACAGTACTAAAAAAATGATATAAAAACGATCAAAAATATGGCTATGGAAATGTTTTAGAACATGACATCACTAATAAAATGACTTAGACAGATTTTATTTTGTCATTTTGTATACACAAGTGTAAGCAAAAAGAAATTTCGTTAAGAACAGCTCTCTAGACTATTTCATTTTTTTAAAGTACAGCCTTGATAAGGTAAGCAGCAGTGATAAAAAAAAATATTGTGATGAAAAACTGTAATGTAAACACATGATTGTATAGTTACAGTTCTAACATTCATTTTTTTTTCTGTTTTTTCTTGCATTAAAATGCACTGTCTTGTTTAAAACAAATAATAAGCCTAATAGTCATATATAATTTTTTGTTTTTACTGCCATTTTTTTTCACAGTTATAAATGTTTTAAAGAGTTGTATCTGTTCTGTAGTAATGTGAAATGCGCTCTAAGCTTTCTATCCCTCTCCTTTCTGAGCGCCACATGCTGTTTGGAGCAGGAACAGGGCGCACAAGGAGCTCTACTTTATTCTATGTTGTTTGGGGGATTTTGTTTCCTAAACCTCAGATTATTGTTCCCTCAAGCTGCTCCTTTATCTCCATTTTTTTTTTTATAGGGAAAGATAGAACCAACATTAACAATTCATAGGAAGCGCTATTGTGGCGCTCGTTGTTGGTCCTCTGCTCTTATTATGCAATGTTGGCCGATCCTGCTTGTGCATGCTAAACTCCTGGTGTTATCAGCGCAGAACATGAGGCAGCCAGCGCGCCTAGAGGCCGGGCGCTGGGAGCTGGAAAGCGGGGGAAGCTCCCTGCTTCGGCTCGGTGATGGAGGCGGTGGGGGAGGAGGGGAGGAGGAGAAGAGGGGGGGTGCTGTGAGGGAGCAGAAGGCTGGGTGTGGATGCACAGACGGGATATGGCTGATTTAGCCATAGAACAGTTAAATTTAATTGGCGGATGTGCCTATTACAGCAGCTGATTGGTAATTAACACCGACACAACTGTGCACCTGCTGGTCTAAGGCGGTGACCTATTAACCTGGGAAGCCTTTAGGTGTTTGAAGCAGCATTACATGAAGATCCAGAGAGATAAAAGAAAATGGTTGTCTCAGGATTTCCTGCATGGATTTGTAAATCTGCCCTTTTTTTTAAATTATCCCTCATCCTTTCATGCATGTTTTTCTTCAAGCTGGGAAAGTTGCTGATGATGATGTGTGGATATCCTTTATGTCTGATCGTTATTTAAGTATTGGCCTTCTTGGTGGGGATGGAATTTCTTTTTCAATTATATATGAATCCAATATACTGCTACGCAGAAATAAGAATTTATCACAATAACCTAAAGAAAGCTGCTTTATTTATATACTGTTGCACAATTCATAGTTTATAACTGGCAACCTGTAAAGAAAAATCAATAAGTATGAGATGAAAATAAACAATAGGTTTGCAATTCCAAACAAATCTACAGCTGAGACACGGTAAAAAATAAACCTCTAAACGAATCATTTACTTTAAATTTACTTTACTTTTGCTTTTTATGAAGCACTTCTGCCTTATTAAATGAATTATGATTAAAAACGTATTTTTCATGTTTGAGTGAATGTATGTGGTGATCAAAAATCAGATTACATCGCAAGGTGGATTATAAATCAAGCAGGTCCAGATTCTATTCAGATTCAGATTCCATTTGGATCTAGGTTTAGTTCAGCACAATTTGTAACAGTTTAATCCACTTATTTAATCACCTACAACCTTCAAGAGAGTTAGTTTGAAATGGTCTTATCGGTCTTAATGACACTGACATAGAATTTGTTTCGTTTTTTTTAACCTAAACTTAAAACAAAACGATTTGGAGTTCGATTAGAAACATGTTGAAGACAATTAAATGACTTTGGGAAGTCAGTGAAATCCAATCAGTTATAAATTGCAGGTGTGAAGAAAGGTTGAATGAGTTTGGAGAGTAGCCAGTGAGACTTAATCATATTGGGCAGAAGGTGAATGATAGCATGAGGCAGAGGTCATGTGTTTCCTGAGGAGTTCCTCGTCATTCTCTGCAATGAAACACTCTTGGACCAATAGGGAAAAAAATCCAGCATTTCAGCTGTAAGATTGTTTTGTTTTGTTCCATAATTCCTTATTTTAGTTAATTCAGTGAACTAAACTAGGCTCAGACCTCTATGGACATATGTGACTGAACTGTGAGTCAAACAGGGATTCAGATTTAAAAAAATTAAAATGGACTATCAGAAATAATCATGCAATGACAATTTGTAAAATTTTTCCCAGGTGGCCCAGCTGACTGCCTTAGGCACAACTATCCCTCCCTCTTTTACCTGGTTAGGCTCCTAGGAATTTCAACTTGTAAAATTTCAATTAAAAAAGTGGCAAAAAATGCTTTGATCGTGTTTAAACCAGTTTATGCCACCAACAATCCATAAAGATCCACATTTGACTTTTATTTCACTAATCGATGTAAAAGGATCATAAAAATACAGAATAGTAATAAAGCGTAGATTTAATGTTTATTATGAACAAAATATAAAGAATGTTGGAGGAAAACAGATTTCAGCTGAATTGATGACATCACAACAGGCACATGAATCAGCTGATCAGCTGACATTTGGGAAACAGCAAAAAGCCTCTACAGATCACAAGTAAACAGCTTAGAAGAATAAATTACACTAATATTTAAAGAGATAAAGAGAAAAAAAAGAGAAAATACAAAATGTATGTAGTTCTGATATGTGCTTAATGTCTGAGCTTGTGTTTGGGAGGGTAATTCAACTCAACTACATGATGCTTTAAAACAGAATTGGAAAACAAACTGAAATGCTGACACACACATGTTGGTTTTTATGTAAATAATTATTTTTCAAAGTGTGTTTGGGTTATTTTACTAAAAAGCCTTGTTTGTAGATTTAATCTAGCTGAAATATTTAGTCTGTTTTCAAAATAACTTTTTCGACCACAAACTTGATGGCTTTAATCAAATCAGCCACAGCAACATTTCAAAATGACTAAATTGAATGAAGGCAGCTTATTTACATTCCCTTTATTCCTGACAAATATAATTTTAAGACACATTAGGCTAAATTTAATCTCCAAAATGTATAATATTTAAAATCATCTGGAAGTATTCTGTATGAATTTAAATCTGATCCTTTTATAACAAAATGTGGTCAAATTTAGTTTAAAAAGCCAAATATGTACATTTTTTAATGTGATGTAAGCAGATTTTGATATGAAAACTAAATAAAAGGGCTCCTCATGTGGCCAATTGTTTGTGTCAATATTTACATGTGCCATGTTTGTATGTGTGCATAGGTGTGGTTTCAAAACAGACGAGCTAAATGGAGGAAAAAGGAGAACACCAAGAAGGGCCCCGGGCGGCCCGCTCACAACTCCCACCCAACCACCTGCAGCGGTGAGCCCATGGATCCTGAGGAGATCGCACGGAGGGAACGAGAGCGGGCCGAGAAGAAGAAACGGAAACAGGAGAGGAAGCTGTTAAAGTCACAGAACAAACTCCTTTCAGGAGAGAGCTTCCACACACCTGGTGGTTCCGAGAGTGACAGCGGGGTGTCACAGTTCACCGACAGTGAGCAGCAGCCGCCCTCGAACCTCAGCGGGAGCGTCCACGTGGAATTGCCGGTATCCAGAGGTGCAGGGGGACACCAAACCGAATCCAGCTGCGACCAAACGCGACACGACTTCAGTCAGCTGCAAAACCAGCCAAACCAAAGAACTGCAGAGGAACTGGAGCAGGTTTCTCCCGGCAGCACGCACAGCTCCAGCCCTGAGGGTCAAAGGTCATCCGCCATACAGAAACGAAACCCTTTCAGCGTGGAGAGCCTTCTTTCTGACACCATGCCACGGCGGAAATCCCAAGTGGACTTTCCCTCTCTGCCCAGTCAGACAATGGTGGGTAAGGGGCACTTCTTGCTTTATCCCATTGCCCACCAGCCCTTGGGTTTTTTAGTTCCCCAAACCGCCCTGAAGGCAGCTCCGTGTCAGGAGAACTCCGATAGACTCACTCTGGGACAAAGATGCATGCCAAGTGACGGGAGCCCGGCTCCCTCTGACCTCTCCACCTTTGGCAGCAACGTTAACCATTTGAACTCAAACCATACGGAGCATACGCACCACAATCACATTAGCAGCAAGCTGGAGGCGGCCGACACGAGAGACTGTGTCGGCGACTGCAAAAAGGCAGTTTCTCCCACATCTGACCATGCAGATCAGACAGTTGAAATCAGAGAGGATGGGAGTCTGAAAGCTCAGAGAGAAGCTGAGACTGCCGAGCTGTGTCTAAAAGAAAGAGGTGCCAGAGAGGAGCGAGGGTCTCCAGACCTCTCCGAGGCGAACACAGAGAGTGGAGAAACACCAGTAACAGATGGAGAGGATGTCGATATGGACTAACACTTTCAAGGAGCAAACACAAGCAAAGGAGCAGGGACAGCGCTCTGATTAGTTGAAACATTCCCAAAGCTCTGTCGAGGCACTCCGAAACATATCAGGAATCACAAGACTTGATCTTTGTCTATTTTTTAATCAGAAGGCGTGACGAGCCCAGCCTTTGAAGCAGGTGTCTCTCTTCTTTTTCTTTTTTCTTCTTTCTTTTGCTTTTGTGAACACCTTGTAAGAAAAAAAAAAACTAGGCTTCAATAAAACATACACAACGAAAAACCCTCAGATATTGTAAAAATGAGAAAATGATATTTATATGTAAACATTTTGATAAATAAAGTTATTAATTGTACTTCACTGTCTTGAAGTCGGGGAAAAAATGGAAAGAAAGGGAAAAGGATGGCTGACAGAAGGTTTTGGATCATGGCAGCTGGAGTTTTGTCATGTTACAGCAGACAAATCCCCCTCTTTTTGTCCCCCCCACCACCCCACCCTCTGTGTCATGAGCCATGCAAGAGCTGGAGCTCAAGTCCGTCTGGCTGTTTGTATTTATTGCTTTAACAAATTTATTCATTTGAAAGGCCGAGCTGGAATGAGGTTAGTGGCCGCGGGCTATAGGACCCTGCGCCTCCTGCTGAGTTTTGATATGAAAGTAATTATTTTCCCACTGGCTGCCGCAGGTCTCCAGGCAGTCCCCCCCCTCCCCCCCTCTTTCTTTTCCCTCTCTCCCCTCCTTTCGTTTCAGCCCAAAGGGTTATTAGACATTACCGATTTCCAGTGATATGGAATCACATAAACTTCCTACAATAATAGAATTAGCATGAAAGGCAGGGGTGTCAAATTGAAATGGGAAAATAATAGCCGCGCCAGCTGCACCACCAATGTGTGTTTGTGCACTGTTGGTGTGCGTGAGCGTGCATAGTCTATTGAGGAGGAGATGGTGGGAGATTCGTGGGGCGGAATTTTCATGAGCTGCCGCGGCTGTCAGACGGCCCTTGTAGTCGGCTATATTAAGATAGATGTTCGATGATATCCCTCATTGTTCTGTCGCTTATATTGATGTTGCTGTGTTATCGCCCTATTGATCATGTGTCGCACATAATAGGACAGGCGCGCGCCCGCCTGTCTGCGCCCCCCCTATTTTTTTTTTCTTACAAAAGCGCCTGGGCCCCTCGTCATTTGTTCTAATAGGACTGATTCCCCCCGGACCGACAGAGATAAAGATATAGGAGGGAACCCAGAAGAAATGAAGCCCAATAATGTGCATTAATATTGTTTTTTTAAATATCAGTTGTTCAAACTTCTAAAGAAAACTATAAAAAGGTATTCTCTAGAGTGTTAACTGACATTTAAAATCATAATAAACATAAAAAGCAGACATTTTAAGCAGATAATCCTAAACATTTTGATATCCAACTAAAGATGTTTCACAACAGCTTTTTATAATCCTAAACATTTTGATAATTATCCAACTAAAGATGTTTCACAACAGCTTTTTTTAAAAGTTTCATTTATTTGCACTGAATATAGTGTAGTCTGTTTTCCTACATTTATTTTTTTGTTGGCTCTACTGCTTTAAAAAACGATTTACTTGATAATTTAAACTTAAGTTTATATAATTTTCTTATCCAAACTGTTCATTGATGCAAAATAAACAGTAGTGGTTAATTAGGCCATGTTGTGGCTATTATTCCTAATCAATCTCTTCCATCAATGTGACATGTAAAGCTTTACCTTGACAAACGCATCTTAGATGTGCCTCAGGGTTAAGAAGCTTAGCATACTTCCAATTTTTTACTTTAGCTTCAGCATTATTGCAAAACTGGTCACAGCTAAACTGTTTAAAATCTATTATATAGGTGGGGCTTTAATATGTTTTGCTAACAATAATAAGGATTTGTTAACTCACAACCACTTCCTCAAGGTGAAGCATGTTAGCAGGTTTGATTTTAGCATTGGTGCTAAGGATAACCAAGCTTCATTTAGATTTTTCTTTTAGAACTGCTAACGCACAAACTTTTTCAAAAACAACAGTTTTTATATTTCTCAGCTGTAACTTAAAATTTCAATAATGTCAGATTGTATTAGGCCTATACCCGCCTGAATTCCCATTTTAGTGAAATTCGGAACAAAAAAATGGTTTCTAATAAAAGTATGGTGAGTTACTTAAGTGTTTATTATATATTATTAATCTATAAATTTATGAATTGATGTGTAAAGCTTTTCTGCCTAGCTGCCTAAAGGCTTACTGTAGAAGCTTAGCTGCTAGCTGGTTTGACTTCAACTAATCACTCATACAAGCTTTAAGTTTTGCTTAAATACAGGAAATTGATAAAGTAATTATTTCTTATATAGGCCTAATCATAATACAAGTCCTTTAAAACATTTATTGTTGAGAACAAAAAAAACACTAATCACCAAGACAACAAATTTTAGCGGGTCCAACATCTTCTACAATTTCAACATTAGAATTGAACTGTCTTTGTTTATTACATTTAGAAATATATATGCTTTATAACAGTTTAAATATAATCAGTGTCTTATTTCTAATACTTTCTAAATTAATCGTTTAGGTATGAGGCCACCAGAGACCACTTTGGTTATATGAATGAATATATCAACTTCCTTGTTGGACCAACAACATAGTTTTGTAAATAAGTCTATATTTAAGTTGTTTACTGTGTTAAAGGTAAAGTCAAACTTGCCAGCACAATGCTGTCATTACTTTGAGGCGTCTGCCAATGAAAAACGTTTACCTCATTGTTGAAATGGATTTAAAAGATTTAGACTACTGACATTTTGAGCAATATTTGGTGCCTTATTTACAAGAATTTTTGCAGAGATTGCCTTCAAAAACACTACAAAGATTAATTTTTGTGTATTCAATTATAGACATTTTATTTATTTTTTTTCTATGGTGTAATTTCTAACATTGTCTTTATTGTCTAATTAACAAAACCAATGAAAAAACTTTTTCAAAAATTTTTGATTTTGACCCATTTGAGCAGAAGAAAACCATAAGCTTATGTTTGTGTTCATAATCCAAAGGATTGTTATGATTAAAGTCTCACTAGACCTGCAGTTGGGATTTTTTTTTCTGTAATGGAGGAAGATTAAACTGATATTTAAACAAGAATTAACAAGTTTAGCAGCATGGTCAATGCCAAAATCTAACCTTCTAGCCAGAGGCGTAGCCAGAAATTATTTATACGGGTGGCCAGGTAATAACCAAAGTACGCTGAGTGGATAGGTGCCAGAACCTCAGGGACAATCTACACTGTTCCAACAGGAAATTTTACTAGAAAATTGTCCATATTCCTAAAAAAAAGGCAAACTATACTTTCCTACAGCCTTTGCTGATGCATATTTAAACATCTATGCTTTCTAGATAAAAGGTATAGTGGATAAAGTTGTTTCAAGTTTAAATTTTGGGGCAAACATCATTTACATCGTCATTACTTACCTACTTTTATCAATAATCTTTCTGCATAAAATTGATAGTTACAAGTACTAATATCTAAATTGATTATTCAATACTTTTTTTTATTAAAATAGTTATTTATCTTTGATTTCACTGTACGCTCCAAGATGACTTGCAGAGACACACCATTTTCTCTTTACCCCTTATAACACAAATTATAGTTCTGAAAAGAGGATGAATTCTGTACTTATCATCTCTAATGTTAGTATATTGATGTCCATAATTAACCACAGCATATTAGAATGTTTTGAATATTCCAGTGGAGAGTATTACTGCTGCCACCACCTATATTAGAGGGATGAAAAAAATGTTAGGGGTGGCCAATGATTGGCCCCCATCTAGCTCCGCCCCTGCTGCTTGCAAGCTAATAACAAGATGGCAGTTAGAGTAAAAATCTTTTCTGAACAGGTTTAACAATTTTTTTCCCCCAGTGTCTTATTTCAAATGAACTACATCTCTCTTTTTTGTTCAAACCTGATATGCAATAATTAGTTAAAACCTGTCATTTAGTTGTCATTCAAAACCATTTCATAATTGGTTTGAATTGAACTGATTTATTTAAATGTAGCTATTTAACGATTATATTTATTTTGATCAAACCTAATCAAATATAGGCTATAAACTCCTTAGTGTAGAGAAAGTGAGAAATTTAGGTAATGTTTGTTCTTTCAAATATACCCAAATGGAGGCAAACAATGGAAATGCACATATGCCCGTTAAAGAAACAGACAGAGAGGCTGGTGTGTTTGGCTTATGAAGTGTAAACGCCACCAACTCCCTGGAAACCAAAATCCCAATTATTAAAACCATTAATTCTGGCTCGCAGAGGAGCAGTGTTGACAGCCCCGGCTAAATATCCCCTGATCCCTCCCGGTCACCTCGCCTTTATTTGCAAATAAATTGAGGGAAGATCCGAGGGACAGAGCTTTACTTTGCTGCACCGACCTAAAATGAATTTCCCGTGCCGGAGTCCCTTTAATAATATTTACATAATTTTCGCCCAGTGACTCTGCTATTTGCTCTGTAGGAAGCTGGAGCTCTTATAAAGGGAAAAAAAAAATAATTAGACAAGAGGACGAGGAGGGAACAGAGTGAAAAACAGCAGGGGGGAGGATGGGTTAAGACCGAAGCTCAACACTAAATTCCCAGACAGCTAAAATCAATGAAAGTAATAACCCTATTATTTAATTCATAAGGACATTATTTCCCCATAAGGCCTCGGGTAACGTCCCCTTCGACCGAAACAATCACATTAAATCGTTCATTCTGCGTGTGGTGTGTGAAATCCCTACTTTCATTCACCATCTCCGCTTTATTTATTTATTTTTTTTAAGGTGAAACGCTTTATTATAATCGGTTAGTTTCAGGGTCGCGATTAATTAAAGCGTTCAGGTTGATCTTCCTCCTGTAAGGCCTTTATTGTATCCTCTGTGTTTCAGCTGGAAGGGGAAAAACCTATCGAAATAGAAAATAAAACCCCAAAAAATGATGTTTAAACAGGAATAACTTCTTTCCAAGCAGATTTTGGACCGAGGAATAGTGGACAAAAAGTGAAGATGCCATAAAGAAGTCAGCTGATGTCTAAATGTGGTTCATATTATCTTTACGGCTGATTAAACCGAATCTGATATTTTTATTTGATTTAATTGAATTTGGTCTTGAAGCTACACTAAAAAAACAAACCAGATTTTAAGCACTAAAACCTGTTAAAGCCTATAGGCCCAAATGTTTTATGCATGCAGATGATTAAACTG